TTCAAAAAAAAGAAAGGGAAGAAGCAAAGAAAATGGGAAAATTGTGGTTTGTACATTCTCAGGGCATACCTAAAGTGATAAATAAATCACAATAGATATGAATGTGCTTGAGATATGTTTTTTTCCTTCAAAAGTCCTTTATTGAACTGAACAACAACAACAAACCTAGTGTAATCCCACATGGTGAGGTCTGGGGAGTGTATAGTGTAGGCAGACCTTATCCCTACCTTTATTGATCTGAGAATTCTCATTTGTATATGAGACTTCAAGGCGATCTGTTTGGGAACTTGTGGCACCAGCTGAGACCTTGTGTTGAACAATTCTTAGTTTGTTTCTAATTGGTATTTACTTAGGATTTACTCAGTCATACTTGGAAAATTTTGTAAAGAAACTCTTATCTACATGACATGTTCTATTATGTCATACTGTAGTAAGATTTGTCTTGAAGTTAGGAGGATATCATAAAGAGATTACAAGGAAAAATGCGGAAAAGCGTTGTCAGAAGTGTGATGCCTATTTTGTTTCTGAATCATAGCAAGCTGACCTACGGTTGAATGATTTAAAGATATAGCCCATATTTAGATCAACTCTCATCCTGTTTAATTATTCCATGACTTTGAGACAATAATTTCAGAGTTTGAACTGTACTATACTGAGGTCAGCTTACTTCAGCTGTCAGAAATCTGATGCATTTGTTTTTATCAAAGCAAGCTGACCATCTGGATATGGCCCATTTTTGTATCAGCTCTCATCCTCTGTAATTTCTCTTTTCAAGATTTTGAAACAAGTATTGCGGTTTGGACTGAACCAAAAGTAAGATCAGCTTAGTCCTATTGTGATTGAGATGCCTTTTTCCCCCATATGACCCTGGGGTGAAAGCAATCTATATTCAGCCCCCTTTTTTATCAACTCTCACCCCTGTAAATGTTTTCTTTCTATATGCTGAAACAATAATTTTCAAATATGGGACTGTATCAAGCTATGATCGACCCAATCCCATTTTGATGATGCCTATTTTGTTTTTGAATCAAAGCGAACTGACCTTGAGGTGAAAGCTCTAGATATATTCCAGTTTTGGATCAACTCTCTTCCGTGTATGCCCTCCCTTTTTCCCTTTCAAGTTTGTGAATCAAGTTTCATAGCTTGGGCTGTACTGAAACCAAAGATCAACTTAGTTCAGTTGCCAGAAGTGTGATGTGTGTTTCGTGCTTTTAGTTAAGCCTAAAACTGATTCAATCTATCATACAAATACTTTTGTCAAAGATCAGTTTTAGTTCAACTGCAGTCAAGTAGGACCCTTAATTAGATTAAAGTAATATGTGACATATAGTGAAAAGGATCTGAAATATTGGAAGGGATACAGAAGATTTATATGGTTGTCATGATTAAGTGGTGGTTGCCTGTGATATATCCTCTCTTTTAGGCAAAAAGTCATACTACAAGACAATCTTCCAACAAAAGAATCTTTTTTTGGTGGATAAGTAACTTTGATTTTATTGATGATAACCTGCAAATAGATAATGTTGCCTGTAGGAACAACAGAATCTATGTTCCGTATTTTTTTTTTTTTTGCCTTTTTTGAGTTTGAAACTTCCAAAAAGTTCCTCCTTTGTTTTGCCGAGCGAGAACTGGATATGAATACTGTTCTTATGGCCTGCTCCTGGAGTTTTCTGCTTCCTCTACTTCTCTCCTTACAGACAAGTAGCTTTTGCGGCGCTGGTTAGGTTATTCTGATTTACTTCATCCAACTTGAGAAAAAGGCGGCTTACCCAATTTCTTTCTGGGAAGCTATCCTAAATGAAAGATGATTCAACCTACAAACTTTTGTTTTACAAAGATCACTTTTAACCTTGTGAAAAATAAATTGAACCTCTCATTACATTTATGCTTTACTAAATGTCCTAGGTTGTTATCTTTATTTTTTATGCAAAACTCATTTTTATACTTATAAGTACAAATGCTTTTATTTAGTACAAGGAATCAGAGACAGTGAGAGCAATCATTAGTTCATTGGGCACCCTCCATGTACCGTCAACTTATCGCGTTCAATATTTGTTTGTTTTAGAAAAGGAAGAACCAATTACCACGATATTGATGCTTTATTGCATTTTTTTTGAAAATTGCTAAAGATAGGCGAAACTGCTAAAGTCATTTCTGCTTTGGAATATGTCAATTTTTTTTCTGAGTTTTTGTTAGCACCACATCGTTGTATGTTATTAGGCGAATGGGAGAAAAAACTAAAATTGTAAGAAATTTTACATTCAATCACTTTTACCTCAATTTATTCTTTGCTGAGTTTGAATGGCTGAAGCAATAACACTCCAACATCATTGAAATACTATAGCAATATTGTCATTCCACAATTGAGTTTAATTTCATTGAGCTACCATTTTGTTTATTTTGAAGACATGTTATATAGTGAAATATAGTGCTTTAGTATTTCAAATTACTTCAGGCCTGTTTAGGCATGAATCAATACTTCGATATTGCAAATTCTAGACTTCAATATTTTGCAAATATAATTCAGCATGACTATTTGCAAATACTTCTTTTGTGAAATATGGAAATACTGATTTAAAGGTGTATTTCAAGTGAAATACTGGTTTCCATTCACAAATTTTAACTTTTAGATTGAAGATGTAGCTAACTCTGAAAAGAAGATCAAGATGAATTGTATATTTTTGTTTCACTTTTGGTGTAAAGAGGCCATACTAGAAGATGTAGATTCAGTAATCGATATCAATGGTGCATTGAACTAGTACAGGAATAGGTTTTTGCTTTTTGGGCTTCCTGTATTTTGTTTCTCTTAGCACTCTTTGTGCTAAGGATTACTCTTTTGAAAATTTATATAAAATCTGTTACCTCCTTCAATTTTCTTGTATAATTTTTAGAAATATTTTTTTTACCAAATGAAGTTGATGGGCAAAGATGCTTCGACTTCCATAAACTTTTCTCAACTCCAACATCAATTACTCTTTTTCTTTATCAACTTCAACTCAAATATTATTCACATGCCTAGTAAAGGGGTCGAGTTTTCTATGTGTTGATAGGTTTGGGTTGTTGGGTGCTGGTATATTTTCCGCTGATAAGGTGCTGGCTTTGAAGAGTGTTGTCATCACTGTACTGAATGTGCTTGTGTAAATACTTTTAGTTTCTCTATTAATCATATTCTAGATTTCCCTGCGCATTTGGTAGTGTGATCTCATTTGATTGGTCTGAAATGTTGCTGTGAAATTGTGGAAATGTATGTCCAGAACATACCTTGATGTTTTTGTATTTCTAAGTAGCACGGGGGGACTACTTAACGCTAGGATTTTGTTATGACTAGAATAAAGTAAAATGCTGTGCATGTTTGTTTGGTCTGGTTTTGTCATAATGCTGAAATTGACAGATTTTATCAGGATTCACTGCATGCTTCTCTATTCATAGGCTAAACGTTATTTAATTAGTTTTTTTTAGCGATGTAAGCTTGTGTAGCTCTCTTAAAGGAAGAATTACTTCATGGTTCCCCACCACTACAATTATTGTTTTTATATGAGCTGAAAAGCAGCTAGATGCTTCCCTTGAATATGTATTTCTGTGTTTGCTGATGTATTTCAATTAACCGGTCAACAATGCCTCAGTCAGCTATATGAATCTTGTATATCAGTTCCGGTATATGCCAAACTAGTTTAATGATGTAGTTCACTAGGCAAATAATGTCAAAGTGGATGTGGATTGCAGGTCAGGTGTTAGAAGTAGTTCTTGCAAAGCCTCAGACTGAAAAGAAGTTCGATGCAGCAGCCGGTCCTCACAATGCTATGCCCCATCCTAATTACATTCCCCATCCAGGATATGGTGCATTTCCAGTGAATCCGTATGGACATCTGAGTGCTGGTTATGGTGCTGCTGCTGGGTTCCAACAGGTAATTTCTGTGTACATCATGTCGTCTTCATTGATTCTGCACATTGTCATTGATCATATTCATCTGATAGACTATTATACTTTAGCAGCCTATGATATACGGCAGAGGACCGATGCCAGCAGGTATGCAGATGGTGCCAATGGTTCTACCTGATGGTCAGATTGGCTATGTTCTGTAAGTTCTTATAAATATTAACATCTGTTTCTTCTGAAATAAAGTTTCTTCATCACTAGTGTAATTATCAGTTTTTAGTTTACTAAATGTTCAGATAAATGAACTATTGAAGTTCTATGCATAGAATAAAACCAATCTAAACCAACCTTTTAAACTTGCTATATTTCCTGTGCAGCCAGCAGCCAGGAGTTCAGGCACCAGCTGTTCGACCTCGGAGGAATGATAGGAGTAATGGTGCTGGTGGACCACAAGGACGAGGAGGATCCAGTGGTACTGGAGATGATTCCAACCGTGGTAGACGTTACCGACCATACTAGTTCTGGTGAAATGTTGTACTTGGTAGCAGTTGCTACTTACATTGAATGCCAGACCAGTAGCTCAGGACATCTATTTCCTACTTCGTCGTTATTTATGAAAAAAGAAAACGAAGTTAAAACAGTTAGACCAATCTCAGCGACTTAATGTGCATTGTAACTAAACAAGGATGTTGGAGATGCATTTTGCGTTCCATAATCGTTTGTCTGCTTGACTTTTAGTTCATAAATTGCTTCTCTAATGTTGGTTAATTTCTTCAATTGTTGAGATGAAAGCTGCGAGTCTCCTGTAGCTTCAACATTTGTCATTCTACCAGATTTGGATTTTAGATTTAGTAGCCTCAGAGAGCAACTGCAATAACATGCGTAGGTGTTGGATTATGCACCATTAGTCTAGCGTTTGCCATTTTTGGGGGAGTAATATATATGCTTGATTGGGTAGCCCTATTTACAGTGGCGTAGCAAGGAATTCATATAAGGGGATTAAGATGATACTAGAATGTTGCACTTAAGATTTGAACTTGTGATCTAAAGTAGTATTTGCACTCGAGTTTGTTACTACACTAGAATCTTTCATCCTGTTAAGGGGATTCACCAATATTCTTATAATAAAAAAAATATAAGTTCAATTGAATTCTCTTGCTTGAACCTTAGATGCACCCCTGCCTTGTTGTGATTAGTAGCAAAAATGAAGGGCAGAAGTGAGAGAAAATGACTTTACTTTTGGAAATATATCCAGCTTCATTAGGTTACACTTCTCATACTTCAATTTCATTGGAAAATCTAGTCTTCCCATAATTGGACAAGGGAATTTCCTCTAGTTTCATTCTCTCCTCTCCGCTTGGAGAAATTAAAGGTGTCTCTCAACTTAAACCGTGTAGAAGAGTTCACCAAATTTTTGCATAACTGCTCAAATAACTGATTGTTACTATAACTACCTCTTGGGAACAAGTCCAGATTAAGTCAAGTTTTTGCTCCTTTATTTTCTTTTTTCTTTTTAATATATTAGCCTAACTCTTTAATAAGAATTAAGAGACTTAGTGAGTTTAATTAGTATCAAAAACCCCCTCGGCGTCAAGAAATCCACAGAAAAGAAAATTGAACTTAGTTAGGCTAATATAGGGGACAGAGTATACGAGACATGGAATATAGATTCTTTTGCAACCATGGAAAACAAAAGATAAACGAGAAGATATGGGGAAAGGATATTCAAATTTGATTTGGTCTGTTTCAAACAATCCCAAATAAAAATTTGTGCACCACCAAAATACAACTTAAACTATACATTCATGTCGTAACCAGTGTATTATTTTGTATAAAACAAAATGCTTTACATAACAATTTTCGTATATCATTATTATTAATGAGTTGGTAGTGTTTTTCATCAGATAAAATGTTCAATGTTAGTATTAGCACTTCGTCTTCTTCTGCATATTCATTCAAGCAGCAGTTGTATCCAAAAGCTGTTGAAGTCTTTTTTCTAATTCATCCAAACGAGTCCCCCAATCCACCTTTATACTCAAAGGTCGAACACTTTCCTTATCATAATCCACCAATTCTTCATTATCCTCTCGCCTTTCACCTCTTCCTCGTCCAATCCCTTTTCTACTGCTTAGCGCCGAACCGTCTCTTTCCTTTCTCTTTTTCTTCATTTTCTGTGCCGTCGCTTTTTCCAGCGCCCGCAATACATCAAAACCGCTCAGTTTCGTTTCTCGCTCTTTTGAACTTCCTTCATTTTCTTCTTCATCTTTTGCTCCTCGTTGTCTATTATACTTTGCTCGTGATAATTTCCTATTTTGCTGCTTTTGCTCCGCCTCCGAACCTGATTTGACTGCAGCAACGGCTACTGCTTTACCTAAATTGGAGATATCTGTGGTTGAACTGTTATCTAAATCGAGGTTTCTGAGCTGCGAATAGAGTCGGAGCTTATTTGGAACGCACCTCGCCGCCGCCGGATTCGTGGTGGTGACTGATATCGGAAAACTGATCGGACGACACATTACCGCCGGATTCGTGGCGGTGAAACATGGAGTCCATGGTCCGAGCGGAGGAGCGGCCCACATGATTTTCTGGTCACGGTTTATAGTGACGAAGTGTCGAATAGTGAAGTATGGTAGAAATATAATGGACTGATTAGATGTGCGGACCAGAGTTTATTAGAATTGGGCCCGATTACTTTTCCAGATCAATTGATGGCCACGTATACCGTTAGAGTCAAGGAATTTTTACATTCCTATGCCACATAGGAAACCTTATTACCCTCAATGTTTAAGGTTCGACTTAATTACATTTAGTATACTAAATTACCAATTCTATACCATAGTGTATTTTAGCTTGTAGCTTGTAGCTTTAATTTTTCCTCAAAAGCTCGGACCGAATCAATATCCTGTCGGAAACTTCCAACTGCCATATTCTGCAATAGGAAGAAATTCAATCTTCGGTTAATGCCAAAACACTTTAATTTCTGCAACAAATATGAATATATATGTATTCTATAATTATCCTAATATCAAAATATAATGGACTTATTTAATCGATTGTAGCTTGTAGCTTAATTGGTATTTTCGACATTGGTACAATTTCTCAGTCAATTGTAGCTTAATTGATATTTTCGACATAATTGAGCCGTTTTTTATTTGTGAAAACAGAAAATAAAGCATCTACAATCAGAATACAAATAATCTACAATTTATCTACAATTTCTGCAATATGTCTTCTTCTTCTTCTTCTTCTTCTTCTTCTTCTTCTTCTTCTTCTTCTTCTTCTTCTTCTTCTTCTTCTTCTTCGAGTTTCAATCTGAAATTCAGTCAAAACCAAGTCTAATCTTCACCAAAACCCCTCAAAATTGAGATATAAACTCCAAATCATATTCCCGATTATTATCAACAACACCCAATCCAAACAAATAATAATTTTTGAAAACCCAAATTTGAATTCAAAGCTTTCAAGCTTTTTAATGGCTGTCAATGGTGGAATTGCTGCTCTCTTTTCATTTGCTTTGTATTACTGAAATTTGCGATTGAGAAATAAAGAGAGATGTAGAGAGAATGTCGACGAACTGAGCTTTTGCAGAACTGATTTCTACAATTTGATTCGAATTTGTTGACGATTTTGTCTTTTTTTGATTTGTGGCTTAAGGAAAAATATCGAAGAACAGAGTTTTTGCAGAAAAGAGTCTATGTAATTTGATTTTAAATTGAAGATATAGGATTTGCGTTTCAAATTTGATCTGAAGGTCGCTAAATCAATTAAAATATTCTGTTCTTGATTTGTAGCGCGCCTAATTAGGAAGGAATCAGCTCCTAATAATTAGTATTTAATGAATGGTATTATAATTGTAGAAAAACTGTGAACATGGCGGGTAAATATGAAACTATGCACATTTTTGATAATAAGGTTTCATATATGGTATAGGAAGAAAAATGTCTCGTCAAGGAATTTTTACATTCCTATGCCACATAGGAAACCTTATTACCCTCAATGTTTAAGGTTTGACTTAATTACACTTAGTAGAATCAAAAAATGAAGCTAGTGGACATCTTCTGTTTAAGCCCATGGGATTCATTGCCAATAGTTTGAAAGTTACCAGTTATGTCAGCCCATAAGTAAGTTCGTATAAAAATTAACCACGTCATAAAATATTATCAATATTAGTTGATTAGTTATTTGTAGAACAAAGAAAATCAAAATTTTGCTTTCTTTTGAGTGAATATTATTGGAATAGATTGGATACATCTTAAGGAGTTTAAATCTCACTTTGGGATAATTTGGGAGAGTTTTGAGTTGAAAATTCGAAGTACAAGATGAATACGGAAAAAGATAATATGTGTATCACACTATGTATCATTTGTGTATCACATATATCATATTTGTATCAAATGTATATCATATATATACCTGCGTGTGAGATGCATGTTTGATACATGTGTCGCAGATGATTTTTTGAATTCTATTTTAACTACAAATTTTGATACCAAATCACCTCCAATCTTCCTCAAAATTTATATATTGACCAATTTATATGTTTTCAATGAATTTCAACCATACTCATTGAAAAATAATCCTTTTTTGCTTAAATTATATATATATAATTTATTGAAATTATGTGTGTGTGTGTGTGTGTGTGTGTGTGTGTGGCTAGTCTGATAGGGTCTTGTCTCCGACTGTTAGTGGTTAATATTGTGTTCACACTATTCTACGTTTTTATTGTGCCGGGCCTTATTTACTGGTTATTGTTATTGCTTTTCATCTATTTTCTGGTCCTTATGATGCTGTCATTATTTCTTGATTTTCTGTTGATGGTACTGATATAGTGTTTCTTTTCGTCGTCTTAAGCCGAAGGTCTTTCGAAAACAGCCTCTCTACCCCCTCGGGTAGGGGTAAGGTCTGTGCACACACTACCCTTCCGAGACCTCACGTATGAGATTTTACTGGATTGTTGTTGTATTTCATTATCTTGTTTGCTACCTCATCCATGAAATTTCCTTTCCGTCTTGCATCTAATATTGCTGATCACGCTTAAAAATATGGAAGGAGAACCTTGCGTATGATTCTTGGAGAGAAAAAATCTTTATTTATATGAATTTTTAATTTTTATATGTCCTTGGCTAGTTTTAATAATTTAATGATTATTAACTAGTGGTTGGTAAGTTAGGACTTATTTGGAACATTTCCGTAAGATTCCCTTTTCATTCAGGGTGTGTAAATTTCTTGAAATATTATGTAGAATTTTCACTGGCAAGCCTATTTGCACAGGCGCCATTTAATGCACAATACCTTTTTTAATTTTTAATTTTTTTCATTCGTAGCCTATTAAGGTTTTTCAGCATTAAAATATCATAGGTTTTGATTTTCAAATATGAAAAGTTCGTGTAAGTTAAGTGGGTATCAAATCTTTTTATGCGTTGAGAATAATGTGTTGTTGCATCATTATATGAAAGAATTAGGCATTGATTGAGAAATCCAAAATATCACCGTTGAAGTTTTTCGAGAAAAGCTCGAAGATGACAAAATGAGCTTGTTAGATTTTTCGTTGTTTTGATAAATGACGATTGGGTTTGTTATTTATGATATCTAAAACCTTGTAGTCAAACTTTAGCTCATATGAAGTAAATTTAGACGTTGAATCATGTTGTGAATTATTGAAATTTGAAGAACAAGTTACGATTTTTGAACAAATATTTATTCACCTAAATATGTCATGCATAGTTCAACCATATATCCCTGAACTTCATGCATAAGTGCCTT